GGAAAGCAGAGGAAAGGCCATAGAAGATGATGACATTGTGTAAAGTGCCCACAAACTAGTGTGAGTCAGGAATCATGAGCGCACAATAAATGCTTTGAGACAATCTGGATGTTTGTGCTGTTCTTGCGTGTCTGAAATAATTAAGCAATTTTCCCATCATGATAAAAGACAGGAGAAGGGGTTGGGACACATGAGAGGATTCCAGGAGCTTGAGAACATCATGCAGTTTTCTCTAAAGTTCAGTGTGTAGCCAAGGCATCAGCCCAGTAAAACTCCCACCTGGAAGTGCCCTAAGAGCAAAAACAGCTCATGCATTTCTGATTTTTGTATCTTTTACTTACAGCAATCAGGCAAAAGGGCAAACTTCTGGCTGGACTTGTAAAATGTGGCCACTTGGCAACCAGCATTTCTAGTCCCTTCCTGGCTGTCTATAGCAGAAGCCTTCCTGTCCTACTTACTATAATTCTGCGTCGTCTCTTGGGGCTCTTCACTAGTTAGGTTGAATGGGCTTGGTCAGAACCTTGTCCTGTCCCCATGTGCATTCAGAATAACTTGTGAAGAACCTACACACATGCAAACCATACATGTATAGCCTCTGCATACCTGCAAACTCAACTTATATTGTCCTGAGGTATACTTGTATGTATAATATACAATATTTAAATATAATCATGTATATTTGAATCAGCCCACAAAGGACCTAGGAAGAAATTTCCACCTTGAGCAACTGATTTCAGAACAGTTGCAGTTGGCAAATTATGATGTCTTCAGCAAACACAGTCAATTCTCCTCTCTTTTGTGCAAAAAAGTGGTCAAGGTAGTCTATTTACTATTTACTACTAGGCCAGGTTTGAAGTTGGATTGTGCAAAGCCATAAACATCTTGGGACCAGGATACTGGAAAGAGTGCCTTCTCCCTTGCCAAGGTCATGGGATGGCAAACCCCTGGTGATTCTATGGTACAGAAGATTCTTTTGTGTAGTGGCTCTCTTTCTTGGGAACTTCCTGCTCCTGAAGGTCAAAATTGCAGCAACAATGTATCATTTTTGGTGTTTCCTGAAAGCACTTTTATTTCAGGAAACTTCCTGATGTGACCAATCATAATTTTATTGGTGTGGATTTATTGTTCTTCTTTGTAACATAATGTTTTATTATTTTATGAATAACCTCTCGGAAATCTTCACAGTGGAGGAATCGACACATCGTGTAAATAAATACACAGATATAATGTACAACAATGGGATTGCTTCTGTGTATGCATGTGACAAGGGAGAAGTAGGAGAAGTCTTATCTTAATTCATTTCCTGAATCCGACACCCCCCCGCCACCCAACATCCACATCCCATGCATTTTAAATCTTCAAGCCTTTTCTCAAAGATATTTTAAAACCATATTTCTACTTCTTTCCTGCATTGCTTTGGTAGAGAAAGAACTGGGTGCACGAGGAGGCGGCAGGGCAACTGCATTGACATTTCTTCTTTGCAGTCCCATCAACTACCGCTTGTTCAATTACTCCAGCAATAGGCTTGGGGTAGACATCAAAGCTCCTTGCTCTGGATACTGATGCACTTGCTGCATGGCAAATGAGCAGTCAGCCAGCCAGTGACTCATCTGCTTATCAGCTTGCTTTTGTCCTTTCAGCTGCTTAAATACTTGTCCTACATCTGCTCTGAAAACAGAGGCACACACTGTCCCACCAGCCAGAGTGCTTCTGTGTCCTTCCATCAGCTCAAGGACCTATCATTTTGCTGAAAGATGCTTTTTCCTTGTTATGTTCATATTTTTTTGTGGGATGGGTTTCTTCTGGTGCTTTGAGATCTGTTAATATTTGCCCACCTTTGCCCAGCTGGAGCGTGAAGAAAACCTGGCCACTTTTGCAGCGGAGCATTAATGCTTCATTGTGTAGCATTAAGAAGTGAAGAATGATTAGGTTTCTCTGAGCTGAGCTGAGGAGAGATCTGCAAACAGAGAAGAGCCAGTACTTTCAGGTGTGGCTTAGGACACCTGCTTCCTGCAGGTATCCAGCAACTCCATTTAAATGCTGTACAGATCTGAAGAGTACAGTTCAAACTACAGACCAGCCTGTTGCCCTCCAGAAGCAGTGGGCTACAATTCCCAGCATGACTCAGGCTGTAGTCCAGTACATTTGGAGGTCACCAGTTTGCAAAAGGCTAGTCTAGATCAATGTAATCCAGTGATTCCACATTTTAGTTCCAGCATCTGCATGAGATTTCTCTTGTCCAAACCATTTTCAGCTAAAGGTTTGCTCTTGAGCTGATAGTTTATGAAGTGGCCTTCACTGACCAAAGGTGTTGGACTAAAGCTCCCAGCAAGCCCACTCAGCCATGCTGGCTAGGAATTGCGGTTTTATACTTCTTGAGGGGAGTGGGTGGGTTGAGGAAGGCTCCTTTTGGGTATATTAGTACATTCACTGAGAGAAGCCAGACATGGCTTCCATCTGAGCTGGTCCTAAACCTTGAGTTACCTGTGCCTATGCACAGGATAGCTCCTGTCCCCCCACCCCTGCTCCCCAAACCCACGGGTGAAAAGAAACCAGAATAGTAGTGAAGTCTTACTTCAACAGTAGTGATAGGACAGTGTCATCCATTGCACCTGGCAGTAAGCAGGACAGCTTCAGGGATGTGGGGAAGGGCACAGAGTTCATTCCACACCCCTCAGCATCAACCATCTGTGGCAGCTGTCTCACCCTGCCTAATGGTAGTGCTATCCCTATGCCATACTGTGTGTCTAGCCCAGAGCAAATGCAAAGTGGATTAAGAAGTCCATTTTCAAACATGGGGGGTAGGGTGTGTGACTGATGGGGTTATTCAAAGGCCTTCAAATATGAGTCTAGGAAGGTTTCCTGACTGTATCAGTGCTTTGTTGGATTCATAAATAAATGTCTTCCTAATGATTGTTCAGTTTTGCTTCAGTCTCGTTAATGTTTTACTGTTTATTGACAGTTTTGACTTACTTCCCACGATTCATGTTGGCAAGCACCTAGTTCAGTGTGTTATGGAATAAAAATTAATTTAAATAGGAAATATAAAACTGTAGTGCTGCCACTGCACAGAGAAGATCCATTGTGGCATAGGAGTGAGAGTTTCCACGGTGATGGCAGTTGCTATGCACTTTACAGGACTCAATTATTTTACCTCTAAAAACCAGACAAGGAAAAAAACCTTAGGTTATCTTTAGAGGACAGGTACCCCCACCAAATGGAGTGAGGTTGGTGGCTACAAGAGAGAGCACCTTGTTAGTCATGGTACCTTGTGGATAAGCTTTTCTCCCCACTTAGGCTTGCCTGGCACCCACTTTGTTATCTTATTGGTGTTAAGTGATGACATTCCTCTTCTCCCAGGCATCTGAAACTTAAGATTTGTATTTCTGTAAGCCCTTTCCAAACTTTATTCTATTTCATCTAGCCTATGAGCAGTTTAAATCCATTTTATTGTGTGAAGTGCCCTGAGAACTTTTTGCTATAGGGCAGAGTATAGCTCAGTAAATATACAAATAAAAGGGTGTTGGCTTTAGAACCTTCTCTAGAGTACTGATACCAGGAGTATCTTATGCTGCAAAGCATCCAGATGGTAATGATGACAATAGGATCTACAGACACATCTGCTATGAGACAGTACAATCCATAATTCTGCCTCTCTAGGTTGTGTAATTTGTATGTTTATTTGTTTATCTAACTAATTAAGCTTGCAATTCTATGCACACTTGCCTGGAAGTAAGTCCACTGAATTCAGTGAAAGATACTTATGTGGAGACAGGCATAGGAGTTCTATGTAATTCTATATCTCTTCCCAATAACATGTGATGTATTGGACTGAGAAAAACAATTTCCGTGCAGTGTTTGTTCAGAATGCTGTCTTGCAGTTCAGACAGATGTGACCAGAGCCTCTTGGGGAGGGGATTACTTGGCTGAGATAACAGCACATCTTGAAGGTGAGCAGAGGGGTATTTTCACAGGAGATGGTCAGTGTGGTAAAAAAATAAACACAAGTTCTGTGGGGAGCAGATTTTTGACCCCAGTGGTTTCCTCTGTGGAGGCAAGATCTCTACAGAAGATTATGAAACCCCACAGAAGATGTTAATGCTTTGACAGCTAGCTGAAATTCTGCAGTTTGTTCCTTGTCTTTGTTGTGCAGGCTGTATTTTTGTTGCATCTTCTTCCAGTTCCTGGAATTAAGATGGCCTCTGGACCTTTGAAGTACCTGTGCACCAGCAGCTGCCGCCACATGATTTTTTGAGTGCTGGGCTCCTGGGGCCAAGCCTGCTCCTTACCCAGATCTTTTTCCTTAGCTATTTTGTCTGTTGAGACTCTCAGTTCCCTTACTCTTACCCAAGCCCGGAACCAATCTCTTTATTTAAGAGTGGGCCACACTCATGCCATCAGTCACTCCAGTCATTCCCTCCCAAAAGACCTTGGGATCAGTAGTTCTCTGAATGGATTTGTTTGCAAATTCTTAGCACCCTCAGAAAGCAAGCCTACAAAAACCATTCCTAGGATTTCTGGGAGAAGCCATCAACCAGGCTTAAAAACCAGTTTAAGTGTGTAGATGAATCAGAAAGTTTAAAACACAATTTTGTCATCTTTCCACTGATTCCTAAAATGTACATTATATACCCCTTTTTACAGCATACAGATATAGAATGAATACAGTTGATCTGTTGTAGCTGTTGTTAACTTACTACAGTGTTCATGCAACTATGTGGTAAAATGGTTTTTTCTTTACTGTACTCAGCCACATTTTAATGAGCTCCACATATCCCTTTCACAATTCATTGGCTTTGACTGACTTTTACAACACACTCCAGTGCATGTTTAATCAGAAGGAAATCTCTGTTTCCAGGAGGCTCACTCTCAGGTAAGCAGTCAAAACTACCTGTATCTTCTTCTAAGTCTTCTTCTGCCAGATCTTGCTTGAGTAATAGAGCTAGTGCTGGTGGATCTCAGATCCCAAGGTCACTCTCTGCTGCCTTCTCCCTTCCCAGTGTTAAAGCTTGACAGAAGACCTCAGCAGATCTCTTACCTTAAGATAAGTCTTCTAAATCATAATCTGTCATCAAGGGCAGTGGTGCAACTAGAGTTGGACCTTGGGGCCAAAGTTCACAGTTCTGCAGCCCAAGCCCCCCTCTCAATGACCACCAAGAGAGTCACAGGATGTGGCCCTCAGGAAGGCAGAGGCAAAATCTGTTTTGTTCCTGTTTGTCATGATGGTGAGCATAAAATTTGAAGTGTCACATACTCAGAGTATTTTCTATCTTGGTTGGAAAACTGTATTCTGTTTATTGTTCGAACATATCAGGATGTAAATACAGCTGTAAACATGGAGTAGGTGTAGAAAAAATGTTTTGTGTGCTTTACAACTGAATCCACATGACCATAACTAATATACACAGCCATCTAGAGCCACTCCCTCACCATGCACAATGAAACTGTTAAATTCAGGGTCTTAAAATTACACAATTACTTCTTGCTTGCTTACCTTCTCTGTTTGGCTTCTTTTTCTATCTATTTTCTGTGGTCTTCCACACTACATGATCTGAAAGGAAACCCAATACTGCCTCCTCTCCTTTCTAGATTAAACAAAGTGTCAGATTCATGGGTAGTATCCAGTATTACTCCTATGTGCAGTAGATCCACTGAAATGAATGGAACTTCCGTCAGTCACGACTAACTTAAGTCTCATTTATGACAAGGAGACTGCTCTAAGTTTGTCCCATGTTCACTCTACCCACTGAATCCCAGATTCATTTCTTGTATTGCTGTACCTGTGTAGAAATTTCTAATATGAAAGAAAAAAACTTATTCCAGATATAATTGCTAATATTTATTTCCTAAGTCTCTATGGATTAGCAATTCTAAACTAGATTTGTTTAAATATGTCATAGAAAGAACAGCAATAGTTTTTCACATTTGTTATGCAGGGTGATCAGTTTGTATTGCTAGTGTAATATTAGGTAATAGATGTAATACTATTTCTGGAGCAAGAGGGCAGTCTTTACTAAGCTCTTCCTCCACGGAGATCATTCCAAAGATGTATTACTCTGATCTGAGTTTCCTGAACACTGCTGTCCTCTGTCACCCTTTCTAAACCTTTTAACTTACTATCTTCCCATCTTCACAATGAAACATTCAGTCCATAAAATTGTCCTTCTTACACATTGCACATCTGTTCACCTTACATGGGGAATGAGAGATGGCTCCTTTTGGCCAGTCCAGATGTGTTTTTAAAGGTCAATGACCTGGAGAAATAAGGAGCTATAAAGAAAGAACAGTTTTTTAAAAGTTGACCTGTTATTCAGACTTTAAAAGAGCAAAGCACCTCACTTTTCTTTCTCCCAGATTATAATGAATTTAATCATTGTTTGAGCAGAACAAAGAAATTACATCAAGCAATGGCTTGCTTCATGCTGCTGCCCAAAAGCCAATTTTAAAATCTCAAGCTAAGACTTGTGCAAGCCATTTGTCCCAGAAGCAAGTTCTTAAATTTTGTATGAGAAGAATTACTTGCTTGATAGACTAAGAGGACAAACGATGTAAGAGTCTAGGAATGTTTACAAGGCTGGATTTTCAGAACATAAGGCCAGCTAGTCATCCACCAAAGTTACTACTGGTTTGAACAATCCACCCAATGAACTTTAATACAGTTATACAACTGTAACCAAATAACCAGAAGTCTTTTCCTATGTGAGTTTGAACTGGTATGCTCTCATAAGAATGCACTGCTGTAGTAAAAGGAAAATGTGTTGGATGAAATCATGTAGTAGCATTTCTTTAAGCCTGCAATCCTGAACAAACTCTTTCTGGAATACACCCTGATTGTACTCAATGGAACTAACAGCTTTGTTCAGGATTGCCAGATGTGGGGCTGTTGAGTTAAACTGACCTAAAGGCTTTGTGGGGCACAAAGCTACAAACATTTCTAAGTTCTTCTCTTTTTAAAAACCACCCTAAGAACAAGTCCTAATAGCATATTTCACCCCCATATGTTGCCTGCTCAGGAACAGTTGCTTAAACTTGAGGGAGTCATCCTGATCAAATACCTGCCCAGATTTTAAGTTGGCGGACTCAGCTGTTAATATTTCTCTTTTGTTCCAAACCCAGGTACAGACAAATGCAAAGACTGAGAGGGAACAAGATGTCCTGTACTAGATGTGTAAAGGTGCCAAGGGGCGAAGGAAATTATGGTTGGCCCATGTATATTTCAGAAGTTCAATTAAAGCAAAGATTGTTACCTTGAGCCAATAAGGACACAATCTGAGATGGAATCAGGAAAAAATCCAAATATCCCTTGGCAACCCTCTGTATACTCTTAAAGTGGCTCATCTTTGCATAGTCACAATCGGTGATTTGAAGAAATGCACTTCCACGAGGACACATTTGACTTCTGACAATTTAACCATACCCAACATATTTTCTGACAGTAGAGAAGCTCTTGACCTGTATAAGACAGCAAGTGCCAGCTCAAGGTTTCTGAGGGCCCTTGGGCAACAAGTTGAATGGGCTCCCTCTCTCAGTGCATCCACTTCTCAGCTACATTGTCCCCAGCTTACTGCTCCTTGTGCCCTCTCAGCATTGCTGCCACTTGCTTGTTCGACTGGTTAAGAGCCCATGAGCTGGTGGGCAGTAGCTGTGCCTCCTCACCACAATTGCCTGGGTCAGAGTACGGGGCAGGAAACAAGCAAGGATGTAATAGTGGAAGGGCAGAGCAACTTGTCAGTCAGTCCCTGATGGGCTGTGAACTCTTGGAAGGGTGGTGAAGCATGCCTGCTCTTGAAACTGGTCCCAGAAATAAGAGTCCAGAATTTAGTTTATCTAGCACCTTAGCCATGATCAGGAATTATGTGGTTTTAATTTAACCTGACAACAACTAGATTGAAGATTTTTAAAAAACCAAAGCATTATCCAACTTTAAATGAAGTCCGTATGACTGTGACAAAAAATTATTGAAAGATAAACCGTGTCCTTGCTACAAAGTGCCAGATGTTAAACCAGCACAACTGCACTTGGTATAAAAGGAAAAGGGACAATGAATTGGTTCCACAATGGGTGTTTGCAAACACAAGTCACAGAATACACAGATCAAACAGGGATTTCCCTGGGGAATGCTGGAGGCAAAGAAGCCATGGGCATTTAGGTCAGTAAAACACCCCCCTTCTGAAAAAAAGTTGTAGTCAGGGCACCTCTCCTGTGCTTATTAGAACAGGGAACTCCTGTGGCACTGAAAATGAACTTATTTTATATTTACAAAACTGGCCCATCACATGGTCTCAGGATAAATGACACCAACTGCACAAAGTGCATAAAATATATACCCGAAAGACTCACTGTCTTAACTATTTAATCAGATAAACCAGTCTTATTTCCCTAATTCAGCTACAGTATCACATGCAGTAACTTATTTTTTTTATCAGAAACACTGTAATAATACTTACAAGTACCTTAAAAGAGGCATTTGTCATGGGCTGCAGTCTAAGGTGAGCCAGAAGCTGGGAACAAACAGTTTCAAGGACTGTCGGTGGCAGCAATCAGGACCAAAGAATCAAGTCAGGACCAAGGAGCTAACAGGAAGCAGGCCTGGATCAGGGGACAAACAGGAAACAAGCCAGAAATCAGATCCAAAGAACAACCAAGGAGGTAAGACCATGACTGAGCTCAGGAAATCCTTTGGCTTGAATAGAACAGAAGCCTTTCTGCTTCTTGCCTGGAGGGATCCAATGGCCACTCTGGATGGGTGGAGTCAATACAGAAAGTTCTATGGAGAGCAGCTGCCACCTATACTTCTATGGTTCAAAAAATGGGGCAGCTACATGCATATTCAGCAGCTCCAGATAGCAGTTTACACTGTGTGTGTGTGTGCGTGTGTGTGTGTGTGTTTGCGTGTAGGGAGGGAGGGAGCACATGCACATGCACACGTGCACATGCACACACAAGCCTGCAAGTTCATTAAACTAACACACAAGACAGCAATTGCCTATGCAACCGCTGGTGATATGTGACATCCTGTGCAAAAGAGCATAAGGATGTAAGAATAGCTATACTGGAGATTAGGCCTTTCCTGTCCAGTATTCTGTTTCCACACAGCTAGATGTGTGCAGAAAGCTCACCTGTAGGACATGAATACAACAGCTCCTTCCTGCATGTGTTCCTCAGACACTGGCAGAGAGAGGCCTACTTGCTCTGCCTCAGAAGGTAATATACAGCTAGCCATTGATAGTCTTTATTCTCCATTAATTTTAAACCATATGTTTATGGATGTCATTGTGCCTTGTGGTTTCAAATTCTATAGCTTTTTTATTTATTAGATTTCTATCCCACCCATTAGCCAAAATATGCTGTGTGAAGAAGTAATTCCTTTTATCTTTCATGAATCTCCCACCACCCACAAGCTTCATGGGATGATCCTGGGTCCTGGTATTGCTCATTTCTCCGTACTATGCATAATTTTACATACCCCTGTCCAGTTACTCACCTTTTTAATAAATGAAAAAGCACCAAAAATTATAACCTTATTCCATAGTAGATTCTCTAGTCCTTCATTACTTTGGTTGTCTTTTTCTGTACTTTTTCAGCTCTGCAACATCCTTTCTGAGGTAGTATGACCAGAACTGTGCACAGAATTCCAAGTATGGTCACATTCATTTATTATCATTATATTTCTATCCCACCTTTTATCTCTTGCAAGTAACCCAATGCAGCTTACATGGCCCTCATCTTCTTCATTTTATCTTCACATCAACCTTCTGAGGTAGATTAGTCTGAAAGTCAGTAATTGGTCCAAAGACACCCAGTGAGCTTCACTGCACAGCAAGGACCAGAACTAATATGATAACAAATTATGTTATAAAGACATTGTGATATCGGCATTTTTAATTTTGATTCCTTTCATAATTATTCACTGTGTGGAATTTGCTTTTTTCACATCTGCAAACTGGGACAAAGATTTAATTGAGCTGTCTGCCACAGCAATCTCCATGCGACAACTGTTTCATGTGCATGAGGCCATGGCAGGCAGATAACATTAATCATAAGCAAAAGATAATTACACACAGGATTGAGGTTCCCTTATCTGGAGTGTTCGCCTAATGAGAGTATATCAATGTGCTATGCTAATTCAGCTACAAACTACAGAAACCGATACAAAATATATCTTCATAAGACACAATCTAATTTAATAAACATTAACATACCTTAAAGGATTTATGCTGTTGATATCTTTATTTATGCTGTATTTTTAGAATTATACAATTGAACTGTGTGATAAAAATGCAGTAAGATGGAAGCAAGGCAAAACAAAATATTTCCAAAAGCAAAATGAGCTTTCAGCATGTTCAGCACCACCATATGATTGTGATGTCAGGGCTTTTCTTCAAATGGTGAGCCTCTGCAGGTGTAATTCCCCCTACCCCCAGCTCCTACAGACATCAGACAAAATGGACTTCAGTGGCAGTGTGCTTCTATATACAATACTTTGCCATGTGGAGATGGTCAATTGATTGATTCACAGTATTTATAGGCTATCTTATAGTAAACCCTCCACCTTTCCAAGATCTATCTTCAGTTACTCATTACATTGCTATTCTTTATAGCATACGACTAACCTGCCCCCCTACACCAAAAAAGACACAGAATAGGTAAATGTCAATACAAGGTTTTGAACTCTATAGTTGGCTCATGTAACTTAAAAAATGCATGAAAGAAAGGGGAACATAATACTGTGAATTTCTAATCAGCATTCTTTAAAAGGCAGATGTTTCACAGACACCCTTTATAATCAGAATGGATGCCTTATCTCTCTATTCCCAGTGGCAGCCTCTGAGCCAATGACAAAACAGATATTGCAAAATCCTTGCAGTAAAAAGGAGAATGCTAATGTTGGGTGTGGGTGTGAGTCAGCAAAGTTTGAATCCTGCTCAAGTCTAGAAGCTCAGGGGATGCTTTCTTGGGCAAAACACTCTCTTTGACTCTAGCCTTCCCACATGGGATCTGGGGGAGATGCAGGGGCACTCTGGCATCTTCAGGGAGGATGGCACTAAAATGTAACAAATAAAATCAAGAAAGCTATTCCATTACAATGATGAGAGAAACATCTGTGACATTCAGCTGTAAAGTGAATGCAGCAAGCGAACTAATGTGGAAGTATAGTGGCTATGTGCCCTAACCCTAACCTTAACCCCAACCCTAACCCTATCCTAGTCAGAAAAAGAACTGTAAGAGTTGTTTCCTATCATTGCCAGTTAACACTTTCACAGCAGCTGGAAAAACCAGACACATTGGTCACCTGGTTACAGTTTTCCACATTATGCTGAAGTGTACTATGTTTCTATTTAAATTGTAATAATTAGTTCAGAATTTCATCTACTCCTATAACATCACATATCAAATTTTCATCCAAAGTACGGTTCTTTCTGGGGTGACACATGTCCTTTTTTGATTACTCATAAGTGGCCACCCTAGATTTATGAGATTTTGTTCATAGTTCCTATCCACATAATGCTTTCAGGCCCTCTGTTTTTGAAAGTGGATATCCAGTCTGCCCATAGCACTAGCATACAAAAGAGCTCTGAGGTTCTATCTTGATATTTGGAAAGAAGATATATTTGCAAGTAACTAGTATAACCAAAGTCACTATAATTCTCTCCCGTCCTGGAGACTCAGATTTCTTTTGCTTTAACTGCAGATTTAAACAGAAACAGATATAATTTTTAAAGGAGAGGTTTTTTCAAGAAATAGGGCAAGCCTTCTTCAAAATTCAATACTTCCTTTCCTCAAATCATGAAACCAAGAAGAAAACCCCTTGCTCAAATGTTATTTTTATGGCCTTTCCAGACATGCTTTGTGTTATAAATCTGCAGATGTTTCCTTATTAATAGCACACTACATATACACATCTTCCCTCATGGCCATGCTTTCACAGTAAGGCATCAGATTTTCTGAGTACTCAAAAAGTGTCATGGTTAGTACTCATGTATTGCAACTGTGATGTCAAATGCAGCTGTGGCTATTGGCTAACAGAATGGCAGCTGCCCTGCTTTAGAGTGTTCCTTTGGGAATTTTATTTATTACATGTATATCCCTCCTGCTTTGCTTGTGGGGCATCTGGGAGGCATCTGGCAGGTCACAGCCTGCTGTACTAATAGGCTGGTCACTTACACATTACCAAAAGAGAGGAAACATCAGCAAAATGCCAGGATTTGCAAATGCTATTTTTTATATCTGGGTATGTGTGTGCAAATTCGGAAATAATTACTAGAATTTAAAAAGAAATGTAACACATATCACCACAGTGGTGAGACGTATTGTATTTCAACCTATCTGCATGGCTGTTTAGTCTGTTCAGAGTGCCACTGAAATGCATTATTTTCCAGAGGTCACAGGAATGCACTGCATGTCTAAATGGTCACTTGCATAAGTTAAAGCAAGGGTGATTCTTTGTGTACACCATGTTTTAGGAACTATCCCTAAAGTCTTAAACTACTAGTAGAGAAATCAGCAACTTATGGCCTTCTAGATGCTTTATCCTACAACTTCCATTAGCAGTAGCCAATATAGCCAGTGGTGATGCAACACAGAAGTTGTAGGCAAATTTGCCCACTCTTGGACTAACAGGATGATATCACTCCATCTAAACAGCTAAAGACACACATTCACTAAGTCTCCCCTCCCAATGCTCACTTCTGTCCTCATGTAGCTAAAAAATTAAATGAAGATATAAGTAATGGAGGGACCATTTCAATAGACTTTTGGAAGGAGGCAGTACATTTGTTTTGGCCATTTGGGAACAGTTTCAAAACGTCACTGGGTAAAAAGCCAATCATTCTGGTCTCAAGTGCTGTAAATGGTTTTATGTTTTTATGTGTAGTGGTTAAGAGCATGGGACTGGGACTCAGATGACCTGGGTTCTAGTCCCCGCTCAGCCATGGAGCCAGCTGGGTGACTTTGGGCCAGTCACAGACTCTCAGCCCAACCTACCTCACAGGGTTGTTGTTGTGAGGATAAGATGGAGGAGGAGATGTAAGCTGCCTTGAGCCCTTTGTAGGAAAAAGGCAGGCTATAAAAAAAATAAAAAAAAATAAAAAAAAACTACCTTGAGATTTTCTGTGCAAATAATAGAAAAAATTAAAATTAAAATTAATAACCAGTTTTAATGGCCACTTAGAATTTGTGATGTGCTATCCTTTATATGTCTACTCAGAAGTAAGCCCAAATAAATTAATGGGACTTATTTCCAGGCACGTGTGTATGGGCTTCCAGCCTGAATTTCTATGCCATTCAAACAGACTTAGCACATTTCAGTGACCATTCTGTTTCATTCCTTGTTTCACACTCACCTATAACAGAACACTATTTGAATTAAGTAAAGAAGGAATATTGCCTACAACATTCTAAAAACATATTTAGTCATACATAAAGTAGAACCACTGAAATCAATGATTAAAATTATTTTTTTTTAAAGGCAACAAAAATAGTTTAGGAACATTCAAGAATCTAATATCTCTGACTTAATCTGAATAAAATCAGCAGAAGCATCAATAAAAGACTACGTGCTTTGGGGTATTGAACCCAAGTATTTACAAACACAATGACTCTTTATCTGAAAAGGGTAGTAGGCAAATGGAATGTGATGCAAATGATGATGTATGCACAGCAAGGCTGATTATAGAATCTGAAAATGAAGAAGAAACTTGGAGTTGTACAAAGTAGCAAGAGGTACACTGGGAAGAAACAGAAAAGGCCAGAAAAAATGTATGGGAAAAAGTGAAAGTGAACAAAATGTGCTCTATGTTCTTTTCCAGGAAAAGTTCAAATTACTATTCTGGGATTTTTTTTACTGAATGGTGTGAGGAAACCCCCTTTCTGGCTAATGGGGTAGGGAAGGGAGTGTTATTAGGGAGAAGTTTTATGGCAGGATAGTAGCACTGGAGGTGAACAGCTTGTTGCTTCATTTGCTGATCTCTGCTTTGTACTGTACAGCAATAACCGGACCAGTAATAACCTTATTAGCTTCTGTTGCTAACATGGCCATCCCTCTGTACATTGTACTGTCAGCCTGCATTTCTAGAAGATTCACTTGGTTACCACTCTTTGCAGACAATTGTAGGGTTTATTGTTAATAAAACAGTGTGTTCCTAGCACACTGTCAGGTAGCCAAAGAACAAAGTGCCTCAGCCTAAAAGAATAAAAGTTCTTGTGAAATACTGTCCTTTGTTACTTACGGAAGGGAAATGGTCAGTCTCGCTCTCTCTCTCTCTCTTTTTTTTAAACATGCTTTTCTCATGTTCTATGATTATTTTCTACTTGTTCCCAACAATAAGGCTTTTAGTGGAAGAGCCAGAACTATTTAGTGGGAGGGGCAAGAAATGAACATCAGAAAACAATCAGAAGTGATGCAATCTTTGTTTATAATGGCCTGTCAGGATAGCACAGGATATACACAGCTAGCTTGTGTATATTTGAAAGATTAGGTTACACTGAGCATCATGCAAGTGGACTTCCCCTACAGAATAGGATGAATTCATGTTCTCCTCCCTGTGCTGCTCCCCACCTGCTCTGAAATCTGCTCCAGATGGTCCCTTCTCTTAGCAGCAGATCTAGGAGACACAGAGAGCCAAGATGAAAGGGAGAAAGTAATTCTGCTAGTGGTTTCTGTTCTGTTAGGAGATCATCTCATCCCACTATCTCAGTTCATATTCTCTCCTCTGCTTCATAGTTTGCCCGATTATCATTTGCCATGACTTCCCAGTTGGGCAAACTATTTTTCAAATTAAACAGGGCTGTCTCCAAACCAATATCTGAAGGGCTGTAAAGCACGACTTGAAGACAATTGTGGTACCCTTAGTACAGTGCTTCCAATTCAGAGATGTCACATGACACCAGTAATTAGTATGCAAGGGGGCAAGGGAACATAGGAGCCAGCAGTACATTCCTGATTTTCCAAAAATGTGCAAGATCACATCTTCATTTTCATTTATTACACTTCTATCCCACCTATATTCTGTGATGGAACTCAAGGTGGTATACATGGAATACCCAAACTGATTCTCATCCACTCACTGACCAGAACTAGACCTGCTTAGCTTTGGCAAGAAGGCTGCATCATGTGCTTTTAGACAAAGGCTTGGGATTTTGAGACACTTTTGTATAGCATCTCTAATTCTGTAGCCCAGTCCCGTTTGTTGCAGCATGTCTAGAGTTTCTGCTGAGACTGGAATCAAACAGATAATGGGACAAGCACATTGTAGCAGCTTCCATATAGCCTCAAGTGTCTGATCTTGCCTAATCTTGGAAGCTAAGCAGGACTGAAATTTGGATGGGTGACCTAAAATGTTGTGAACTGCTCAGAGAGCTTTGGCTATGGGTGGTATAGAAATATAATGTAATGTAATAATAGCTTTTGAAAATAATGGTTACTAAATGGGGATAGGGTTCCATTATACTTATAAAAGGGTACGCTCAGTTTGCCTTCATCCTACGTTAGGCTGCTTATTCACTTTCCTTGGCTTCAAGAAAGTCATGTGGATTTAAAAATTGATGAGTGTGGCACTGGAAGAGCGGTGCAAGAGGATGGAAGTGGCAGTAGGGGGAGATACGGTGAATCCTTTCTCCACATCTAGGTTTGTTGAAGTGCAAGAGCCTGATCCTGGGAGAGATCTGGCAATCCCACAGGAAAGATCACTTTCATATGTTTTAATGACAGCTATGGTAACCTCTGACCTTGATGAAAGGCAGTGCTTCTGAACTTCCGTTTGTTAAATAATACCAGCCACTTACTTTCTGATTTTTATCAGTGTTTAGTAATTGGGGTCAGAACAAAGCCAGAAGAGTATACTTACTTATGGAGCTTTATAAGAAGCTAGAAAATTTTGTCATAAGAAGCAGATTTCTCTTTTCTTTTTTACTTTTAAAATAATGCCCAGCAAAGATGGGTGGGAAGCAGACACTGAGTGGCTTATAAAATTACTTAAAGAATAATGAGCATTCAGCTCTGACATTTGATTTGAACCCTGCTTGCACTCAAGACTGGTAAGTACCTGAGATTGACTAGTTGACGCTACTCATATAATCTAGGGTTCCAGGCCAGTTCATACTGGTTAGGCGTTCATGAAACAAAAATTACAATTTCAGCCTATTCTAACAAGCACCCACAGAGGCTAAAACACAAATGGCTCTATTATGGAAATACAGGGAGCATAAGGAGGCAACATATGGATGTGCTCAGGGGAATCATTTTCTGGGATCAGTCTCTTGGCTGTACTTCATGTTGAACCCCACATCACCCATGACTTTTAGCACCTACACTTCACTGGTGCTCAAAATCCCTTCCACTTCTGTTATCCTATGTCTGTATGATTCTGTATAAATTAAGGGTTAGGGTTACGGAAATACAAGATCAGAGGCTGTGAAAATGAAACCAGGATAATAAATAATATTAATACATAAATAACAGCTTTCAAAGGAGGTCAGGAAGCTAATGTATGGGCTTTTAGTAAGCTCTTTTTTCTCTAGATCGGCCTATTTGGGTGGTGCCACAGGAAACCATGCCTATTATGAGTATATCCATTTCCTCAATCAGAAAATGTTTAATGCTGTTCTGCACACCTCCCATTCCCAAGTCAAGAGGTTCTAGGGGTGCTACTAACAGGCTCATTTTCTTTTGGCTGAGAACACTGGTGGCTTATGCTGTCTTTATAGCTTTTGCTTGATCTACAGATACAAAAGCAAGGAATAGTAGTACAACAAGCAGGCAGCAAAATCACTAACTGTGCATCAGATTCCCACAGAACAGTGCTCAAGCTAGGCAAATACACAGCAGTATGAAACAAAGCTGTCCCCATAAAATATATGGCAATTGCATAGCCTGGAGCCCCTCACCTGACACAGGACAACTACTTTCCCCTAGAAAAACCCATGTTTCCCTATCTGTGAGGTTAAGTCTGCCAAAGACAGTACATTATTAAGTCAGTTGAAAGGCTACTTTTGGCAAAAAAGAAAAAAACTATTATGCATCTGTATGAAATGGGAATGTCTGGCCCACAGATTTAATTTAGTTTCCTCATCTGGCCATGAAGCTTCCTTGGATTTCTCCATAGGGCAGGGCTTGTGATCAGAGATAACAGCAGGGATATGGGTACATGTGAAGCTGGGAACTTTACTAGCATTGGGAGGTACAGCTTTGTCTATGGTGTGAATTCTGTGCCTCTCTCAGCACAGAGAAAGAAAAAATGGGAGGGGCCTTGCACATTAATGCCCAGCCACCCCTTGAGATCTGCGGGAGAGGCCCTTCTCCGGGAACCCTCCGTGAAAGAAATTAGGAGGGTAGGTACTCGGAGGAGGGCTTCCTCTGCGGTGGCGCCCAATCTATGGAATGCGCTCCCCAGAGAGGTCTGCCTGGCGCCGTTGTTATTTGTTTTTCAGCGCCAGGCGAAGACCTTTTTATTTAAGCGTCATTTTAATTGTTAACAATATTTGCTTATTTATCTGGCCAGGGCGACTTCTTTTATATTGTTATTTTTGTATTTTATTTTATGTTGTGAGCCGCCCAGAGGCTTCGGTGAATGGGGCGGCATAGAAATGTTTTAATAAACAAATAATAAATTAACATCATCAGACCCATGGAAAGACCATGGAATTTTGTCCCCTACTGTAAAGAAATTCCTTATCTGTGGGCTATAAGAATATTGCCCTTGGAAATCATTTGGTTTTGGCAGCACCTAGTCATCCATGGGAGGATGCCAAAGATCCAGCATCCTGATTGATATCTTCTGCTTGGCCTGGCATTTCAACTGCCACCTTTCAGCTGGATCTAGCCAACCTTTCCATTTTCAACCATGACCCCAAAATAGCACTGCCCTGGATTTTATGTATTTCTCTTCCAACAGATATTGGAGAAATTGAAGTCCCCCATAACAACGACATCATGCCTCCTTGAAACACTGGCAATTTGCTTTTCAAATATTACATCCTCATCTTTTCATTTACTGGGTGGTTAGTAATATACTCCAACCACTGTGATCCTCTTATTCCTTAGGAATATTAGCAGTTATATTTTCAGTTTCTTTCCTAATTATGCCTAACATGGATTTATCTTTTCACAGTAGTCATGTACTTTGCCTGCATTTTCATGGAGCTGTCAACTACAGCTCCAAGATCCCTTTCTTTGTAGTCATCACTAGTTCAGGTCCCATACATTTATACTTGAAACTGGGATTTTTTGCCCCAAAGCACATTACTTTTTGTTTATATTAATTTTTTTTTGCCACTTTGGTGTTCATTCTGTTACCTTTGAGATATATCTTTGGAACTTTTTACAACCCCCTGTCCCCCCCCCTTAAAACAACCCTAAATAGTTTGGTGTCATCAGCAAATTTGACCACTTCACTGTTCATGTCTAATTACAGATAATTTATGAATACAGACTTTCAGCCCAACCTACCTCACAGGGTTGTTGTTGTGAGGATAAGATTGAGAGGAGGAGAATTATGTAAGCCACCTGGAGTTCCCTGAAAGGAAAAAAGATGGGATATAAATATAATCAATCAATCAGAGCTAATACAAATCCCTTTGGAACTTCATTGTTTACCTCCTTCCACCTGCAGAAATAATCAGTTATTCCATTTTCTATTCTTTAGCTAGTTATGGGTACATAAAGCTTCTATTCTATAACTGCCAAATTTGTTCAGGAGTCTTTGATGAGTAACTTGAACTCAGGTGGTAAGACTGTACTGTTACTGTTTGATACATGTTGATCCTATGCATACCTATTCCATCATTTTTTGCATTCCATGGGGTGCTTTCAATAAAGTGTGCATCGTGTGCTTAATTCGCATTAGTCTGAAAGAAATAGATTTCCATACAGTAGTTTCACATTATATCTTCAAAAGTGCATATCCCCTTTGCCTCAAATAGATCAGGCCAGTGTGTATTATTTATCTTCTCCTCTCCGTTCCATGCCTTATCCTCCTAACAACACTGCAAGGGTGTCGTGGAGGAAGCCCTGGGGGACAGTCAAAGAGTGCCCACTTGAATTTGATGGGTTAAGGACAGGGGTGTTTTTTTGACAGCTCCCAACAGTTCCTGGGAACTACCTATCTGGAGAGGCTTGCCAGACATGCACATGCATTTTTTGTGTCCCCTTCCCTCATGGTCAGCCTCTGTATGTCATGTTTTTAGACTGTAAGTCCTGTGGGCAGGATGTGTCTTGTTAATTCCACATGTTCTTGATATAATTTTTGAAGGAGTTCTCATCATGTATCCAATGGTCCCAGTGATGGGTGCACATTTTTATGAATTATTTTAATTTATGCTTAATACTTAATGTGGCATGTTTTATTTTAAGTGTTGTTTTGTATTTTATATTGAAAAATTAACAAAAAAGGAAGAAAAAAGAAAAAAAAATCCACATAAACCACTCTGGGAACTTTTTGGTTGAAGAATGAGGCATGAATGTAATTTTGGACAATCACATATTGGGGATTACATGACCAGAGCCAGCTGGAGCTAGGTGTCAGACTAGATGCCCTGGGAGGCCCCTTCTGGCAGACTCCCCCCCCATGTTTTCTAATTTTAAAAATAATTCATTCATAATAAGATAATAAAATAACTACTAGATGCTGTCATTGCTTCATCACACAAAGAGATATCCTCATCTTGTAGTCATTGCTCAAAAGAAAGTCAAGCATCCAAGCCTCATTTTTATTGTATAATCATTGGTTGCATAATCTTGGCTATAGGTGTGGCGTGGGCTGGGTGGCTATGATGGGGGCTTTGAACTGTGGCTTTGACTATCATTAAGGACCCCCCCCCCCTTCCACATAGCCACTACACCACCGACATTGTGAGATAGGTTCAGTTTCTCTCCTCAGCTTCTTGGTTTCAGGCCTCCGATCCTAAACCAACATTCTCACAAGAGCTTAATTCCCTTAATTCTTCCGCAGTTCCTTGGAAGCTGTTCCGATCTCAAAGTTGCACAGCAGAAAATCGTTCAACAAACAAATCGTTTGCCAGCGATCTCATGCCTAGAAAAACTGCACCTACTTAATGTCTGCCTGGCGCTCTGCTATTATATTAGGACCGGGCGTCTTACCAGAGGAAGGGGAGCTGCAACGATTCCAAACTGCATCCCAGGCCTCGTTCCCATAGCAATGAATTTGTTGATTACGCTGACTAGGAGCGGCGGCGGAGGTGGGGCAGTCTCGCTTCCAAGCGAGGCGAAGGCCTGGAAGGGACGCCAGAACGCAGCGAGGGACTGAGACCAACCTTTGACCTCACGTCGCCGTGGCAGGGAATAGGAACGCGGCGCCTTGGAGACGGTTGCCCGGCAACGAGACGCTCGAGGAGGGGGCGCTATCGGCTCTAAGGCGGCCATGGATGCCGAAACGCTGCCTTACGCGCTGGACCTCGTGGCTGGCAGCGGCGTGTGCCTGAGCCCGGAGAAGCGAGCAGCTTTACGGACCTCGCTTCTGCTGGTGCGCCGGGACTACCGCTTCGAGCAAGTCCGCCTGTGGGGTCGCATCCAAGGCATCCGTGGAGCTTACTACATTGCCGAGGGCCTAGGGCCGGACAGGGCTGGGGCCAGAAGCCGCCTGTACAGGTGGGCGGCTGGCTTGTGCTTCTCGAGGGGGTACTAGGCAGGTGATATGCCGGGAAAGGGGGGAGTTTGGCGCCAGCAGTGATGCCCCCCTCCTTGTTAGGACTGTTACATCTTTAACAGCTATCCGACAAATAGAAACTGCACAAGTATACCATTTCTATGACATGGTGATGCAGTGGTTTGGGGAGTTAGACCTGCTGAATTTCTGATAACTGAGCAGTTGTTACAGACACAGGAGCCTTGTTGGGAAAAAGCAAAAAAGCTGACAACTAGGTGAAAGAATCAGTTGAATGTAGTTCAGGAGCTCTTTTAAATTACATCCTTCCTCAACCTGATGCCCTCTGGCTGGGAATGATAGAAGTTGCAGCCCAATACATCTGGAGTTCACCTGGTGGGGAGAGGTTGGTCTACTGCGCACGTAGCACAAGAAAGGGTTCAGAAGGGTGCCTGTGGGGCAGCTAAATAAATATGTGATTAACTGATTAAATGTATGTGAATTTGCATACAAAACAAAATTCAAGAGAATGGGGATTCTTGAGCAGCTAAATAAATATGTGATTAATTGATTACATGGATTTGCATACAAGGAAACAAAATTCAAGAGAGCTGAAGGAAGTAAGCATAATTTGTTTTTTGAAGGCACACATATATGCAACAGAAGTGGCAATATTCTCTTTCTCATACTGAAAGGATACTTCTAGAATCTAGAAGTGCTGGCACTTTCATCTGCAGTTTTTATAAGCATGTGTATTACAAATGATACAAAATTTAAACATTGTATACTGAGCTGTGATTAATTGGTGGCACTTTTTTTTAGTAAAAATATTTTTAGGCTGCATTCCTGTGCATGGTTAGGGGAAAAAATAGATCTGCAGCTCCCAGAATTCTCTAGGCAGCATTAGGTTGGCTGGGGAATGTTGGAATTTGTAGGGTGGTCTTCTGTCTAAAAATGTTTAGGATTGTGTTCTTACTCTGTTAATCTGATTTGATTTGTGTTCAGTTGAGTTAATGTAACAGAGTTCAGCTGGCAACAAGATGTGATAATGACCAGACACATCATGAGGCTTGCCGATTCCATATTAAGTGAGTGTGAATGTGTGTGTGAGAGAGATTGATTCTAAAGTGTGACATAGCAAGAAGGGCAAGCTGAACTCTTATTATTATTAATCTTTCATATAGTGTTTTCAATTCTTCATAGCACTTCCCATGCACTATCTTGTTGTAATGTAAGAATTACAACTACTTTGTAAGAGAAGTCAGTATTATTCCCCAAATTGCAGATGAGGGTAGGGGGACTGAACCCAAAAGTATAGTTTCCTTAAGGACAACTATAGAGTTCATGGCAGAGATGTGATTCAAACCGAGAACTGCTTGATTCATAGCACACTCTCTTAGCCACTAAACTACTTCAGCCCTGGCATTGTTTTTCTACATTAAAATTTTTAAGTCATTTTTTTTCCTGGCAGAGGTGGCTACTGATCATGAATCCTCAACAGGAGATAACTACTTTAAAAATAGGTTTATTTGCAAGGATAGCACATATAGGAAGACTTCACCTTCCCTCTCTTACCTGGCCATATGTTATTGTTATGTGCCATTGAGTTGTCAACAAGTTTTGGCAACCCTATAAATGAAAGCCCTCCAAAACGTTCTGCTGATGTTAGCCATACTCAGCTCTTCCAAGATCAAGGCTGTGGCTTCCTTTATGGAGTCAATCCATTTGTTGTTTAGTCTTCCTTTTTTCTTCTGCCTTCAACTTTCCCTAGCATGACTGTCTTCTGCAGTGATGCTGCAGTGATGCTGCTGTCTTACAATGTGTCCGAAGTATGACAACCTCAGTTTTGTTGTTTTTGCTTCTAGGGAACTTTCTGGATTGATGTGCTCTAGGATCCATTTGTTTGTCTTTGTGTCAGTCCAGGGTATTCACAAAGCTCTCCTCCAACACCATGTTTTTGTTACCAGACTCTAACCAGTTAACAGCTGGGGCAAACCCCGGGTGGACCCCAGACCCAAAAACCAAACAGAGCCTGAGACGAGACTTAGAGCTAATTGCAGTTTTATTCTGGTGCACTATAGAATAAATGGAGACAGAGGGGAGATGCTTCCCAAATCAGAGTCTTGAAAGAGGTACCGAGAGCGTACATTATATACCCTACGTCATAACAAGTTGTCCGGATACAAAGTAAATTCATTTCCCTATTATTCTTTGTTCTATTTGTTAGTTTACAGAAAACTATTTATCTAGAGACTCCCCTTTCTAATGTGTCTGTTGATTATCTCTGAATTATTCACATCCGCTCTATGTTTCTCAACTATTAGTAATTTATAATGCCATTTGCTACTTTTATGGAGGCTTCACCCGGATTCCAGTCGGTCCCAGGCTCCAAAGATACTTCTCATTTACCCTCTTGTCCCAGGAGTTCACACAGCGTTCTCCATACCTCCCCACTCCCTCCTGGACAGGAAGTACAACATGGCTGCAGATTTCAGGCTAAGTGGTTAGCCTAAGTGTTGTGAGAGAGTATGTTTCAGGTAACATTTTGAACAGATCAATTATCTTCTTCTCAGCTTTCTTCACTGTCCAACTTTCACTCCCATACATAGTGATAGAATGTTGTGATAAATCTGGGCCTTGTCTCCTGTGAAAACATCCTTATGCTTGATGACCTTTTCTAGTTCCTTTGATTTTCTTGACTACAGTCTCCCTTTGAATTGATGGGAGATATATAAGATATATAAAATCTTTCACAATTTCAATTTCTTCATAATAAAGTTCTATAATTCTTCTGTAATTATTCTTGTTTTCTTATAATCAGCTGCAGTCCTGCTTTTGTATTTTCTTCTTTCAGTTTCATCAGGTGTCATTTCAAATCATTGCTGCTTTCTGGCAGTAAGATGGTAGAATCTTAAATTATTGATGTATTTTCTGCCAATTTTCACTCCTTCCCTTGATCCTAATCCAGCTTTCTTTACAGTATGTTCTTTACAGATTGAAAAAATAGTGAGACACCTTTACCTATAGGAAACTGCTGTTTCTCAGTGTTCTATCTTAACTGTAGCTTTTGTCCACTGTACAGGATACAGATCAGGACAATCAAATGCTGGGGCATGCCCATTTCTCTCAGGACTTTTCATAGCTTCTAATGATCCATACAGTTAGAAGCTTTGCTGGAGTCTATAAAGCACACACTGATCCTCTGAAATTCTTTGGTGTACTCCAGTACCCAATGTATTTTTGCAATATGATAATAAGTGCTGCGCCTTTTTCAGAATTCAGCTTCGACGTCTGGCATTTCTTGCTCCATATAATATGCTTTGTTGTAACACTTTGAGCATCACTTTGCTTCTGTGGAAAAATAGTGCAGTGGTCCTTTGATTGCTGCACTCTTTTTCATATCCTTTCTTGTGGATACAAATGTATATTGAACATTTCTAGTCTGTGGTCCATTGTTTTGTATTCTATATTTGCTAGCATATTCTTGTTAGGTTTTGGACAGTTTCAGCCTCTGCTGCTCAGAGCAGTACTATTGGTATCCTATCTATTCTGGGTGCTTTATTCCTTCCAAGAACTTTAGGAGCAACTGTCACTTCACTTTCTAATATTGCAGGCTCTTTTGCACCCAATTCCTCTTTGAAGAAGTCTTTCATTTTTTCATCTTTTCTGTAAAATTCCTCTGTGTATTATTTCAACCTTCTCTTTATTTTCTCCTTGTCAAATAGTATGTTCCTTTGTCTTTTCGCCTTCCTAATTTAGGTTTGGATTTCCTTTTGATTTCCTGAATCTTCTGGAAGAGGTCTCTCATTTTTCTTCTTTTTTTCCTCTTTTTTATTTTTTTGCACTGGTGGTTGTAATAGTTCCGTTTCTGTGTGATAGATACTGAAAAGCTACATTTTGCTACAGGAGTTGTTCTTTGGCATTCTTCCCTAATAATGTCTTTAGTTTCCATCTAGAGTTCTGGCTCATGGTCAATTAACTTGAATAATACAAATCTGTTCTTTATATGATTTTTAAATTCCTCAGGAATGTTATTTAATGTGTATTTCGGCACTATATTTCTGTTAGTAATTTTCAATTTGACCCTGATTTTTTATATTAACAGTTCAGAGTCACTACCACATTCTGCTTCCTGCCTTGTTTTGGCAGCACGAATACTGCTTCTCCATCTGCTATTTCAAATTACATATTCTGTTTGATTTCTGTATTGGCCATCTGTTGATTTCCATGTATGCAGTTGTGTGACTGGCTGTTGGAAATATGCATTTGCAATAAACAAATAGTTGGTTTCTCAGATTTCTATGAATCATTCTTTGGCTTCATTTCTTACCCCTACACCAAATTGCCCTCACATTTGATTCTGCTTTGTTTCCTACTTTTGTGTTCTAGTTACTTAGGTTACCAGCATGTCTTTTAGCGTGTTATCAATTTCTTCTTGAACATTTTGAATAAAACATTTTGATTTTTTCCTCTTCCGCATCTGTTGTTTGAGCATAAACTTGAATGAAAGTTATGTTGGTAGGTTTTCTACAAAGTGTGATTGATATTATTTGATCTGATTTTGTATTATAGCCCCTTGCTGCCTATGCTACATCTTGCCTCAGTCTTAGAGCCACTCCATT